TCTCCAACAGAGCCACTACATCATAAAGCCAAAGGAGAGGTTTCTGGTACTAGGTATAACTTGAAGGGTATACAAGTCCTAGGTGTGTGGAGTGTAGGCTCCAGCAAGACTTCAATGCCAGCTAGGAAAAACCAGATGGCTCAATCAGTTATTCCTGCTATCAAGAAGGGATATTTCACCTCAAGGACTGGTTCTACCAGAAGATTGCAGAGGATATATGCCAACATATTATCCAAGACACCATCAGCAAAACGATTATAGGAGATATCCCAGAAGAAGCCAAGTGTAGAACTCCCCTTCAGGCTACCAGTAGGTATTCATGAACCAGCCAACGTTAGAACAGATTCCAGTGCTCAAGCACCTCTGTCAGGAGATGGCAATCAAGTGGATGAAAGCTTGGGCTCTGTATAACTGGGAAGAAGATTAGCTCAGGCAGAGCCATTTCTCTGCCAAAATATGAAGAAGAAGCTTGGCACCTGCAGCACTGGTTAGCCAAATCCAAGCAGAACTTGGTGAGGATCCTAGTAGATCTCAAAGCACCCACACCCACCAATCAAAAGATAACAGTGATGCTGGAAATTCTGCTGGTAGGGTTAAGGTGTTTTACTCGAAATTTATATCCACTACTGGTTCTGACTGAGAAGCTAGTGTACCATGCAAAAAACTAGCAAGAAAGGCAACAGCAGAAACACAAGTTGGGTATATATTAATTACAAACTTACAAAGAATCATAACTAATCACAAAGCCATACAAAATCTTCGTCTCCTACCCAAATTTTAATTTTATTTGATTTTATCTTTATAGAAATTAGTTAACAATTCTTGTAACTATTATTTCACATAAGTCTTTTATGAACTGTACACATCCCTTTGGCACAAAATTATACCTGACATAAACAACTCTAGGTTATGATTGGCTAGCTCGCAAGGCCAACTGATATTGAACATCTGGTTTATGTGACATCGACATCCAAGTCTTTATATTTCATTACACTCATTAAACATAACCCTTTATTTTCCTGAAGAAGAATAGTCAACTATTCGAAAGCGCTTGAGTTTTGGGTCTCATTTTGAAAGTATTATAACTTTTGTAGATGATCCTATGTGCTAACTACTTAACCTGGACCATTATTATGACGTTATATTGCAAGTTTAAAAAAATCATTGTTCTTGTCTACATAACAATGAAGGATACTTTAATATGTATAACGTCACTCCTCTTTGACAGATTCATCAGCTGAAGAGCATAAATCTATTAAATTCATGTATTATATTATATTAATATTTATATAATATTTACAAAATGTGAGAAATATGAGGCTATAACACAATAAATACAGTTTTTTAATGTCTGTATTGAAAACTTGCTTGTTTAGAAGTCTTAATAGTAGGGTTGTAATTCCAAAACTCACCTATGTATAAGGAGATGGGAATTTGAGGCTTAGAAATTAATCAAAAATCCTTAGCTAATTCTTGGGTATTTATGGTATTGAATGCAAGTTTTAGATTATTTAACCAGTAATAAAAAGAAGCTGTCATATGTTCCTCCTCCAACAAAGCCAAAGTGGATGTTATCCCCATCCTTATCACTAGCCACAACTGTGGTCACTAAGGTGTTAGGTCCTGCATTTTCATCCACATTGGGGGTGTAAACATCCTGACTGAACTTGGGGAACTCATCATTCTTATTTTCTGTGTAGATTCGAACAGTAGCAGTTCCAGTGAGCTGAGGATCCCCGTGGTCAGTGGCCTCCACTGTAAACTCATAAGTATTGTTTACATCGGCATCTAACCTTTTATTTGAATAAATGATCCCTCTATTGTCAATTGTAAAGTCTTCACTTTGAATGGTGTATGTTATTTCAGCATTTTCATAAGCATCCAAATCTGAAGCAGATACTAAAAGAAAGTGAAACATCTCAAAATACATTCAGAAACATAAAATGGAGAAGTCAGATTACTGACTCTTAATTAATTTACAGTTCTAACCCTTACATAAAATATGTTGTAAAGTCCCTTTAATTTAGCAAAAAATGATTTTAACAATCCAAAACTGTTAACTCATAATCCTCTTCAACTCTCGCATATCTTTAGTATAAAGTCCTTTTAATTCAACAAAGATGTTTATAAAAATCCTGTACAAGATTGAGAAGTCCATCACCAGTCTGTTTCTGGCATGTTTCAGATTGAAACATTCAACACTAGATAGTGTAAGCACTCAAGAAAAACAGTAATCTGAATGAATGATAATATCATAAGCTAGTCTCATTTTGAGCATTTTTACATATGTAACAAAGAACTCCTGGAAGGAGTAGTAGTTCAATTTGGGATGATATCCTGTGAATGTGTTATCAAAAAAGTAATGAACAGGGGTGGTGATGAAGTTGTTGTTTGGAAGTTTAATGGTGCAAAGCCACATGGCCCTTCTGCACTACAGCACAGTGTTTATGATGTTGTTCTTAATACAACCATCCAAAAAGGTTAAAACAAAAGACAAGTGTGTAAAATAAAAAATGTGTGATAGAATGAAAAAGGCCAATGGTCCATAAAAACCTAGAAGTCAGCACATGCAGAAAATCTAAAACATACCTGGGAACTTGGGTCTTGTTTGAGTATTCCAAAAAAACTTACATTAAACTGATCACCACTATTAATCTTTTAAGTATATTATAATTGTTAAATGTTGTGTACAGTACACACAGCTTTCCTCTTCAGATCTGTAGACTTATGTAGCCTCTCTTAGTGCTGAAAATAACAGAATAGTTATTAATGTCAAAAGTGCTCCATGCTGCAATATTCTTTGTGCCATATACTGGCCATATTCTACTGTTGTTTTCTTAAGTTCACATTAGGAAGGCAGCTAAAACACTCACAACCATGTATTCGAAGCAATAGAGCATTATGTGAGAATTCTTTGACAAAGAAGAAAAAAATTTGCAAACTCTGCCAAAGAAATATTTAATTCAAAGGAGGAAATATTAATAATTGATATCCAGGTACTAAAAAAAGAGACTCGGGTCAGGTCAGATAATTAAAAACCCAACATGTACCCAGTTTTTTGAGCATTTGTATCAACCACAATAAAAAAAACTAAACATATGGACAATCTGGGCAATTTCATTTATGTCAATGACATTGTCCATTGTGAAAGGTATAGCATGGGTTAAAATATACCTAAACTGACACTGTCACTCAGTATTGTAGCAAAAACATGAAAGATGTGTGCAATTATGACTGCTCACACATTTACAGGTCATTTTCCTCTAAGATAAAGCAATCTGTAAGAACTATATATGTTAACCATGGCTAATGCACAGTTGTATTAGGATAACTTTTCCCCTCCCATTACTGCACAAACTAAATGAACAATCGACAATGGTCAGTTTCATCTGAAAAAGCTGAAAATTTCCTACCAAATGGCAAGAAGCTTTGGCTTCATGACAGTCTGATAATATATATAAGGAATGGTCAAAGCACTGGTGTCACCAGTATAGGTAAATTTGCCTATGGTAACAGTGAGTCCATTCCCTCACATTCCAGCATTGCCATAAATCCAGAAAAAACTGACACTGTGAGATAGTTTTGTTTGTTAAACCTTCTTCAAGTAGCATTGGAGAGCTATACAGCTACAAAGTACACCACCATCAGTATGGGTAATACAGGTTGACAAAAAACAAAGCTACAGAACATATGTAACAACAAGGCTGCAATTCCGTATCCTTCAATTCCTAAGGTTCAAATTCTGAAGTTTCAATTAATATATTTTATTGTTTTCCTTAAGATTGTGAATAAATTATAACAAAGTTACATAAAATAAACCATTCAGAAAAAGATATTTGTTTTGGATTTTGTGGAAAGCTACATGAAGGCTATCTGCACTAGCCTCCCTAATTTAGCAGTGAAAGACTATAGGAAAGGCATCTAGTTATCAACATCCACTGCTAACTCTTGGGCTACTCTTTTACTAATGATTAGTGGGATTGACCATCACATTATAATTCCTCCACAGCTCAAAGAGCGAGCATGTTTTGTGGAATGGGGAATCGAATCCCCCGACCCTCAGATTGCAATTCAAGCACCCTAACCACCAGGCTATGCCAGGCAGAGAAAGATGTGCCATTAATACTGCTTAAGAATATTTTTCATGAGAAATTAGCTCTGATACTGAATAGTATGCTTCAAGTTTTTAGTAGTTTAAAAGGCCTTTAAATGTTGGAAATAAATAGGTTTTGTATTGATTTTATAAATTTTTAATTTTGTTAAGCAAATTTAAAAACAGCTTTTAGTGGTTATTATGGCATATGGAACTAATTTTCTATGCGTATTTGTTAGAATACTTTTCTTCTGAAAAATTAAAAAGTTCATTTTAAGCATCTAACTTCAATATACAAGTTTTTCTTATGCCTAATTAGTGTGAAAGGCATACTTAAAGACCTGCAAACTTGTTAAATTTTTAAAGAATTGGTTATTTTTTGTGACTTGTTACCCAATATTGGGATAGGATCATAAATGAAACTATTTTTACACTCTTTGTAATCAACAGAATACAGTGCATTACTGTTCTCTTACTTGCATATTACTTTTCATTTTCTCTGAAATTAATTCACTTTCTTAGTTAATTAACATTGTTTTAATTCATTACCTAATTGTCAAGAAATGATATTCTGTAATCTTCATTATAGTTTTTACTTTTAAAGCAAATTTTACTTCAGAGAGAATGTTTGTCTAAATATTTGTAGAGTTACAGTATTTTTGCTTGAACATTATTACTGCTACACACATTCCTTAGTCATCTGTTCTATTTTTCACAGTATTGTGTGTTTGTAGTACTAGATAATGATTTTCTTTATTTCATCATATTCATTGAATGCGTTATTAATTAACATGTACACGTTTACTTGTCTCTTTATACTGAACTACTTTTAAACTGAATTTGTGCCAAAAATTATTTCGACATGTTTTTCATTAAGGATTATCATATAGGTTCTCATTTTTACTCATTTCTGGTTACAGCAGCTTCATTTTAGCATAAAAATTGAAGACATAACATATAGTCAAATGATTTGTTTTAGTACAGGCATGGAAATATGCCAACAATGAAAAAATGGAAATTTTCAGACATTTAAAGCATATATTTGGATAATAAATGATTACTTGATAGTAAAAATGTTTAATTTCTTGAATTGTGACTTCAGTTATCAGGTACAATAAAATAGCTTAGTTGAAGATCAATATGCAAGAGCTCCCATTGGGTCCCATGCTGGCAGAAGAAGTGGTTCCTTCTTAAAAACTTCCATCACATCCTCTGACACAAATTTTTTATCTATAACAATTTCATAAACATACTCTTTGAACCAGTCTGAAGTCATCATCAAGTAACCTGCAATCACCATAAAAAAAATAAAGCTAAATCAACAATGTTTATTTTACACATATTCTCCCAACTCAACTGTCTGCAATCATAAAATAACTTTCTATAGTAACATTTGTTATTTACATATAATTATCTCAAAATACAACAAAATTCTGCATCATACTTTTATCTCAAACAATTAGAATCTATTTTTACGGGGTAATATTAATATACAACCTATAATGTTTTCCGTAAGAGTAACCTAACAGCCTTTCCTCTCAAAATGAAATTGTCAGTTGTTGTTTTTTGTATATGTGTGTGTGTGTGCACGCATGCAAATACATTTACTTGAGTACCAATTAAACTTCTATAACGATAACTAGAGTTAGTTGAACAAGAAAAAAATGTAAACCTCTGATTAGTTTCCTTAATGAAATAGAAAACACTAATACAAAACCTTTTTTCAGGTACTTACAGCCTTTAAACAAAACTATGTAAGAAGATCATGGTTCAAACATCAATGTCATATTAAATTAAGCAAAACTTCATTGTCTAAATATTACTGATACTCTATAAAGAAACATATATGTACAAATCAAGTTCAACAGAAACTATTCAACCAATTTAACATAAAGATATATTTACACACAAAAAATAAACCCATGATATCATTATTAAACAGTTTATTTAAAAGTGCCTTTATAGTTATATACAAATTACTATCTATCAAGTAAAAAACATACACAGTTTCTTTTATAATTTATTGATTAAATTTGATAATTTGATTCCCAACTAATTAGATGATTTCATAAAAAACTCCTCCACCAACAAATAATGCTTACATGTATTAACATTATCTTTTAGGCATCTACATGTACTGGATAGCTGATTCCCTTCATAAAAGAATTAATGAAAGAATGTTGACAGCAAGATGTATAATTTTACCTCATCAATAAACAGAAATGGAGAAGTCCATATATATACAAGCACAAGTCTGCAATTTCCATAAACAGGAAATGAAAGCTTCTCACAAAGAGGATCTTGGAATGTATAAAACCAGTGTACTATTGCAAGATCCAAATATGAATACATTCTTAAGACACCCATTACAACTTTGTGGTCATTACATCAAAGATAATTTTAAGAGTTACTTTCAAGTCATAACTTTATAAATCTTGTTCAAAACTCTCATCGTAGTTACTACTTTTCAGTACAGGTCTCTATAGGTCTTTTAACTTTTGTTGACATAAACACTTCCATTTCATTTGGTGGTACTATATTGCTTCAATTTTTTAAAATCTTCTTCTATCAAGCTTAATACATCCCCAGTATTCTTTACATTTATCAAGTTTATGAAGTAGTGTCACAGAATTTACACAATGTACTTACTTATGAAAAGGTTAATGCTTATGTAAATGAGGGTAAGGGTGTAGATTTGGTGTATCTGGATTTTCAGAAAGCATTTGACAAGGTGCCAATAAAAGGCTTGTAAAAATGAATCATCTCTATTGGTGTGGGGGATAAGTTAACAAATTGGATAGAAGAGTGGCTGGATGGAAGAAAGCAGATGATTGTTACAAATGGAGTTCAGTGAAACTGGATTAATGTCACAAGTGGGGTATCTCAGGGCTCAGTTTTAGGACCTTTGTTCTTTATGATTTTAATCAATGACACATGAAGGAATAGTCAATCAATTACTTAAATAAGCAGATGATATTAAGGTCTTGGGTGTTGCTAGCTGTGAAGAGGACGCTGTTAATTTACAAAAGGATTTAGATCATTTAGTGAGTTGGGCAAATAAATGGCAGATGGGTTTTAATTATAATAAATGCAAGATAATGCATGTGAGTTATAATTTGAATTATAAGTATAATTTGTATGTGAATAACCTTAACAGTGTTACGAAGGAAAGGGATCTTGGTGTAATAGTCGATCATTCTCTAAAGCCATCCAAGCAGTGTGCTGTTGTTAGTGGTAGGACAAATATGATTTTTAGGTTGTATCTACAGAAATATTGAATACAAGTCGTATGAGGTTATAATTTCATTGTACATGTCACTGGTTAGGCCCAATTTGGAATATTGTGTTCAGTCTTGGGCTCCTTACCTAAGGAAAGACACTGAATTGTTGGAAAGGGTTTAGAGAAAGGTTACTAGAATGATGCCTGGGATGGAGGGGTTGTCATACAGGGAGAGGCTGATTGTTTGTTTGTTTTTAATCATGCACAAAGCTACACAAGGGCTATCTGTGCTCTGCCCACCACGGGTATCGAAACCCGGTTTCTAGCGTTGTAAGTCCGCAGACATACCGCTGTGCCACTGGGGGCTAGGAGAGGCTGAAATCTCTTAATTTTCTTCTCTTGAAAAAAGAAGTGTTAGGGGATGGGGATCTGATTGAGGTGTTTAAGATTGTAAAGGGTATTAATAGTGTTGACGAATCATCTTTTTTTCATATTTAACAGTGAGAATAGTAGGACTAGGGGACATGAATAAAATTTTTGGCAATATAAGAGTCATCTTCAGATGTTTTAGAGGCAGTAAATTTAAAATTAAAATTATAACAACTCTCTCTATATGTTACAAATTTGAGAAATTTCTCCTGTGTTTTAGGTAGTCATGTGGTGTCTCAACAAATATTTTTATTCAATTTCTCTCATAATAGTCTAAATTTATGTATTTATTCTCAGTTTTACTATTCTTGCTTGTTTTGATCTAACATTCACATTCTTATGCCCACTAACACTTTTATTAATTTCATCATCAAACCAAAAAGTTGTGTATCCTTCCTAGATTTTGAGAAATGTCTTTTGACTCCAGTACTAACCCTTTTCTTTCTGCATAGAGCAATTTTAAATGTTTTGTATTTTCAATTCTATCACCCTGCAGCTGATTTATTTTTTTTGTTAAATGTGTGGTAGGATACCAATTATATGTTCACATTTGAGGAAGGAAACCAGGGGCTACCAAAATGTGTTAGATTCTTTGTATTAAAAATTGTGTTTTAATTCATACTTTATAGAGCAACATGTAGCTTTTGAAACCATAAACCATAATGAAAATTATCCTCATGGATCACAACTTTTTGGTCAAGACAGAAGAGCAAACTTTATTTAATAGTTAAAGAAAACAACAACAAAATTTTAATTGAGAGAGAGGAGTTAACAACATATAAATAATCAGTTTATATATAAAGTCCTGAAATACTCAATGAGCATTATTAAACCAAGTCCACACATATAAAAAATATTTAAGTTGACTATTATGGGTCCAGAACTAGGATGAAGGCAATGAGGCATGAGAACATCTTAACTGATATTCGGTTAACTGGAAAATGGTAAGATAAAACTGAAAAAATATTTTTACTAATATTTTACAGCCGAGAAACTAATAATAATAAAATAATAATGTTTCATATATGTTTGTGTGTGTCTATATATATGTTTATATATATATATATATATATATATATATATATAAAAATAAATAAATATACCTAATGCTATGTAATAAATTAATTGTTTATAGGCAATTAAAATCAGCTATATAAAACAATAATGAACTTGATATAAACCAGAAACAATATAATAAAATTGAAATTCAAAGTTCTGCGTCTGTTATCATTCCCTGTTGTCATCCTTAAGTTGTAATGGATAATGCCTGTGGTCATAGTACCCAAATGAATAGGGATATTCAATCTATCATGGAAATACCAAATGGTGATGTAAAACTCACCAGCAGCTAAGGAGAATCAGTTAAGGGTTAGGAGTTGAGTGCTTGAACCCACAACATCTCAACTCGAACTGACTTTCGCTGTCTGCAGCCAGTTGTGAGAAGGCAGTTACCCTTAACCCCTTAACAACCGGGGACATTTTATCTTATCATAAGAGCAAAATCACATTTGTGAATTGAAAAAATTATAAAGAACTTATTTTTTATTAGTTTTCATATTTTATTTTTGTAAATAGTAGCAAAACATTCATTATTTGTACTAAATTGCATTAATTAATTTAAGTTCAATAATTTAGCATAATTTGATATATACATATACTTATCAGTGCCTTACTTACAAATTTGATATTGTTTATCCATACATTGATGCTCGTTTAGTATATATGTTAACTTATAACATTTGTATATACTTTTATGTAATTTAACTTAATTTTTTAAACCCTTTGCAAAATATCAGAATAAACTATTTATATATCAGCTAGTATGCTTTAATTATAAAACAACAACAGAAGTGTAGATCTTACTAAGTGATGATAGTAAGAAGGAAAAATATAAAATTCTTACGATAAGCCTAAAACTATCAAAGTGGTGCTAGTAGTATGTACAAATCACACACAGTTATCATTCTAAATACTAAATCATATTTTTATTATGAACTACAGTTGTATGCAAATCATGCTTAGATGCAAAATACATAGTAAAAGCTACACTGAGATATTATAATCACATCAGTTTATATATCAAGAACATACAAACTGTACATTTGTTCACTATTCATGAATATGTACACTGAAAACTTTATACATGTTTATACAAGTGCAAAAATAAGCTAAACAGTGTTACCAAACAATTATCTGAAAATGAATAATCCAAGTTGTACATTATTCAGTGAAATATTAAAAATTTTCTACATAATTCTTGACCAGAAACTAAAACACAAAATATGATAAAAGTAATAAAACTGAGCACAGTAATGTATAATAAATACAATTCAATATAGACAAAAATAAAATTTGTGTGCTCTTGCAAAAGTCTTTGTTGAAATATTTTCATCTTTTATGGCTAATATGTGCAATGAGTTTTAAAACACCAATTCACAAATAGAATTGCATTTCAAACAAGTTGAAATACCTAAATGCAAATGCTGAGTGGTGGTAAATGAAGCTTTTATTCCTGTAAGGTT